TCTGTAATGGAATACATTTTAAAAGTAACCTTCCCAACACTGCCCGTAGTGTAGTGCTTTACACATTTACCTAACAAGTGCCTGTTAAAACTCAGGAGGAGACCCAAACTCCTGTTCACTAGCTGGGCCCACGTCTTCATTTTAGGTTTGACAGTGTTTTAGAAGGTAAAGTGAACGCTCTGACATGAATTGAGCTGCGGTTTGGGGAAGGCCAGAAGGGGACTGGCGATGGCTCCTGGGCCTGACAGATCCCCATGTACTAAATAGAAAGGAAGAAGTTAAAGAATTGAGAACAAGGAGGGAGGGACGGTGGGGCACGTAAACGAGAATGAACAGCTTGCAGAACTGGGGGAACCTATATATGTGTTTGGAGGCGTGATCCCGCTCCTGAAATTCCGATACATAATCTCCAATAAAATTGTGTCACGAAGGGCAACTGCCACAAAGAATAGTCTGCAAGTCATCTTTTGTGAATACAGGAGCAGCCAAAATAATCTTCTTCATCTTAGGAAGAGTTAATATCTTTAAATGGCTATAACAGAAGACTTGAAACTGAAAAGAAAGGCTTTACTGGGCTTGTTTGCGTTGCTATATCATAGCAAGATGTGAACTGGGAATGAATGAACTGCACTGTGGCACATGTCTCCTTGTCCTTGACTCCCACCTGTTTTTACTTGTTTACTTCATATCATGTTTGCATGCAGATTAAGCCTGCATTTCAATTCTATTTATTTAGTTATTTCTCTCAGATCGTTAAACTCCACCACGACAGCTGTGCCTCACATATATATATATCTAAACTCTCATTTAATGTAATAAGAATTATAATCAATCAGATTATCTTGCGTCTTAATGATGTGACACTGATAAATCTGTGAACTTACACATTAATATTCAAATATTATGGCTCGGTTCTGGGTCATTTGACCCAGCGTTTTGAGTTTTCTTATACTTTGATCTTCATTGTTTATGTTTAAGTCTCATTTAGTTATCTAAGCTCGTTTCTGTTTTGCCTAGGTTGCCCTGTTATGGTTCATTATGATCATTCCAGTCAGCTGATTCTCCAGGTGTTTCCACTTCCCCTGATCACCTCCTGTGTGTATTTAAGTCCTCTGTCTTCCTTTGTCCAGTGTCAGGTTGTGTGTTGAGTTCTCGTCATGTTTCCAGGTTTTTCCATGTTCAGGTTTTTATCATGTTCTCGGTTTGTCTTCTTTGTGTATTGTATGTAGCATTTAGTTCTAGTTAGTTTTTCCTCAGTGTGCGTCTGCCTTTTGTTTTGTACCTTTATCCAGGCACAAACAAACAGCTCGCCTTTTGTTAAATTATAGTTTCGTTTCAAGTGTCTGCATTTGGGTCCGCTATTCTCCCGCAGATTGTGACATATTATAATTAGCTCCTTTTTCATAGGATCAGTTGCTCTCCTTCCAGTTTGCGATTGGTCAAATCCTCTTAACACCACCCCTTTCACATGAACTCGCTCATCTTATTACGATGATATCCACCTTGACTGCTCAGCCTGATTGTTAGGTTAAATGAAGCCAGATATCCTGGGTATGTGAACTTGCTTCGTAGTACAGAGACCAGGTCTATAGGCCACTCCACTGTAGCGGCTGTCAGTGCGCCCCAGGGTGGCTGTGGCTACAATGTAGCTTGCCATCACCAGTGTGTGAATGTGTGTGTGAATGGGTGGATGACTGGATATGTAAAGCGCTTTGGGGTCCGTAGGGACTAGTAAAGCGCTATATAAATACAGGCCATTTACCATTATCTCAAATACTTATGGATTTGACAGCAGGTGTCAAAGATATGTGTCAAGGCTGTGCAGTATAGACGACCCAAATGCAATATGCTGTCAAAATTAAAAACAAAGGCCATGATCTTTGGTCTACTTAGCAAAATGCTAAAGATCCAAGCCATAAACTAAAGTTCAGCTATACAAAGGAGCAAATGAGAGAAAACCACATGCAGTAAGCAAAAATGAGCCGTCTATCAGACGCCTTATCACAAAGGAAAAGGGAAAATAGGGCTACATTTACACTGAGAGCTGATTTGGGACGTGACAGAAGAAGAAAGAGACAAAGATGAAAAGAAATGAACACAGGTGAAGACAATCAGGGCAGAATGTAAAATTAATGTAAGACACGAAGGAAAACTAACCTTAAAATATAAAACAGGAAGTAAAAAGTAAGGAAGTAAACAACTAAGCCTGAGCATGAAGATGAGACAAAGAGAGGCATAAACAGGGAGACTGTCATAATAACAAAATCAACACAAAGACCACAGAAATAAGATAATATCACACAACCCAAACATCTTGTAAAAAAAATAACAACAAAGGCAAACAGGAACCACAAGCTCAGCAACTTCAAGAATAAGAAATGCAAACACGAAAACAGCACAGAAATCTGGGACCAAGGGCTCAAAGCAAACTGCAATTTAAATGACATGAAAGTGTGAAAGTTTCATTTGTAGCAGAGCGGCATATTCTAATTTAGTCTAGTTCAGAGTCCTAAAACTGAGTCTATGGTCTGTAATTTAGCTGGGCTGATATACTGTAACTACAATATGTGAGTAAGTGTAGATATTTTCATACAGAGTAACGTAAAGTGTGAAAGTGGTGCTGAGGATGTTGTGTTTATTCTTCTCCAAGACCCCCCTCTCCTCTCTGAAGCGGTTTTGGACGTAGACAAGTCAATGAAATAATGCACATTTTGCTTTGGTCCTTTTCTTCTGGAGGGAATTACACAGACACCCCAAAGTTTTGCATCATTTTATTAACACAGCAAATGAACTTGACACACAGAGCGGCTACAGTAAACAAAGGTTTGGCTGCAGAGGTGACTGACGCCTCCTGCTGGCCAGTTTGACAGACCCAAACGTCTCATCTGCTGCACTGACAGGATAATTGAAACACATCAACTACTGAAGCAGACAAAAAACCAAAGCAACACTTTCAATCTTTTCTAAAAAAAAAAAAAATAAAATAAAAAATGAAGAACTTCTGTGGATAAAAACTCTGCAGTCATCACAGTGAGCAACCTGCAGCTGTATCTCGGAAAACACCTTAAGTGGCACAAATATGTTCTCTTACCCTGAATAGTGTCATTCCTCAATGAGCAGAAGCAATCCATGACCCAAACTCACACAGAACAGAAGGAGCTGTGAGAACAGTGCTTTACTTAGGACAACCAAATAAAAATATAACCTGTCTTGACATCTTTTCTAAGCATGTTCAGCTTTCTGGAGGCTGCATGGAGAAATCATGGGACGACCATATGATACATAATGTATGGAACATCGTTTTTCTGTGGACATTAAACTTAAAGACAATAATCCATGTATGAGGTAATGAAAGATGTGTAGATGCAGCACATATATGTTCATTTATTTTTTGATGCAGTGAATTGAAGGACTAAAAGCACCTCACACAAACAAAGTGAAACAGCGAGCAGAGGACAGAAACAAACCAAATGCACTGACTAAAGATGGTGGCTTCAGCACCAGCTGGCACAGACCACACTATGACGAGGGGGCAGGAGTTGGATGATGTGCCTCTCTGTTTTTGTCTTTATGGCTGTGATTCTACCATCCATCCGGCTTGAAGCTTGTTAGAAAAGTGAAGGATCATTTGCTAATGTTTACCAAGAACTGAACTGAACTACTGTGCAGTCAGTTTAGCTGTGTCAGTGTATAAACAGTTTTTTTATTGCAGTAATACTGCACTAAACTAAGTAAACCTGCATATTTCTTAATGGCCATCATGTAGCAACTGCTCTGGTTGTGAAGGACAGTGCTTTCTTGAATTGATAGCTTCTATTACTAGTTTCAAGCCGTTATTTATTCGATATAATATGAGGTTTATTTTAAATCATGGTCTCGTTTAGAGTGAATTGTGAAGCAGTGTATGATTGAGGGCATGGCTGGTAAGTTCCGGTTGTATAACTGTGTGGTCTGTTCTTGCTCTTGGTTGGATTTACCTTCTTGCTCAAAAAAGGTGGCCAAAAAATATCAGACTCCAGCAATGCAGTTGGAGATATACATATATACATATACAGTTTTCGTCATATAGTAAAAGTCTTCTGCTGAAAGATTTCCAAATATATGTTTCAGATCACAGCGCTGCAGGTTGTGCACTGTTTGACAGACATGCAAATACACCCAGTCTCTCCGTGAGCCTATGAGAACAAACCTTTTTGATTAGCAGCGTACTATTTTATCATACATGTTGCTAGAGTGAAAGTTTGCTCCAAACAAAGTTTCCGATCCGATAAACGTGTCAGCATCTGTGTTGTTTTGTGAAAGAAGAAAAAATGAGTCCAGGAGCTGTAGAGCTGTTTCTCTCTATGGATGTAAAATTTGTAAAATATCATTTGGATCTACTGCTCTGTCATCAAGAATATTTGACATATATCTGTATCTTTTCCCCTTAAATACTGTATATACAATTCATTCCTCCTCTTTTAGGTATTAAATACTTAATATCTAAGTTGGAGAACAGCGTTTATCTACAGCATGATGTCTTAACAGGATATAAATGTTGTCCCTCATAATTCACAGTCACTGGATCACTGAATGCTCCAGAAAAGCCCTTTAAAATAATGTTAGTTTTCTCTGTTAGTACTGAAACAGTCACATACTGACATATCACAGCCTGGCTCTCCAGCCTCTGATGTCGGAAGGCAAACAAAAAAACCAACAACCCCGTGTTGACCCTGTGTGACAGCTACACCAACGAACACAAATATGAGTCAACCAGAATCTGTATGAGAAATTATTTGAGCTTTTATGCATTTTTATGTATCCGTTTTCTTCTTCTTCTTTCAGCTGCTCCCTTTAGGAGTCACCACAGCAGCTCATCTGCCTCTATCATCACCATATCCCAGCATCCTCTTCTGTCACACCCACCCTCTGCATGTCCTCCTTCACTACATCCAGGAATTTTCTGTGGTCATCCTCTTCTCCTCCTCTGCACATTCTGTCTCTTTATACAAGGTGTGATCAATCTAGCCAGTCTCCCATTCATAATCATCTTCTCAGGCACGTCCGAATAGCTGCGATTTTTTTGACCCTGTCACGGTAAAATCTCATTTTGGGTATTTACACTGTGACCTTAAACTTTGGCAGAGGTCAAACATCTTTTGTTTAAAACCGACCCAAATTTCACAAGAAGGCGATCAGCACTCGGTGATGACCAAGAAGCTGCTCAAAGGCAGAATTGCTCAGTTTATTAATCACGAGTTCATGAATTCAACGTGGGGAGTCTGAGGGAGAGCAGTCAGAGGGTCTGTGGTGTGTTTTATGTGCCGTGATGTGTCCGCTCAGAGTGCATTGAAAACTCCACAGCAACGCGATCATTCACCAAATTTGCCTCACTGGGATTTTTAACACCAAAATAAAATGAACTCTTAAGATCAACGTTTTCGCACAGTGAAGGAGATCCAGCATACACTGCATGAAAAACAATAGAATATGAGCCCAAATTAAAACTGGGTAGACTTTTTGATTTTTATGAAACTGCGATGAAAAAGCTTGTAAAAGCATGTCTTTTGTTTCTGATTTTCAGCTCAAACTCTGTGTGACGCATATGTTTTTGTTAAAAATGAAATTTTTTTGAACACATGGCCTCTTATCCATTTAATCGCTGCGTGAAAACGTTTCCATGCGCTTGGTCTCAACACCCGATCACTCTTTCAAAGGAAGAGACCGTGTCTGTGCAGTTATGAGCTTTTACCTGAAGTTAAACTAAGTGTGTAAGAGTTGAAAAACAGCTTACATACAAATAAATACTCTCTGTTGAAAAGATTATTTCCTCAGTCGTTGGATTTAACAGACCAATAGCTGGGAACTATTTTCAGTGACAGATTAATCTACATTTGGTGCTTCAGTGGTTTTTTGTGACAGCAGGATGGTGTGTGCGGGGCTAGGCCTACGTGTGCTACAATGTTTGCATTCATGCTAATGAAAGAACAAGTCACCGAGGTCAACAGTGAGATATCTAACTATTTTAGGAACAACAGTGGAGCTCTGTGGGACAGAGAGAGCAAGCTTTGATACACTCACATAATACTTGCTGGTTTTGGTCTGACATTAGCTTTAATATCCACACAACCAGACTTATCGTACCTCCTCTGTTCGCACTGGTGTGGTGCATTTAAACAAATGAAATCTGTGTCGATTTTTGTCGATTCTTGTTTATGCTTTGACAGCAGATATGTTAAGTAGCTACTTACCTAGCTATTCAGCAAATAAAAGGAGCAGTTTTTGAAATTAGTCCCTTGGTGTGTTTCGGTGATGCATTCACCTTTTTGCTTTAGCGTTGCAGAATTTCCATCATCGCTGCCCTGACGTTTGGTCTAAAAGCCATTTATCAGTTTAACACTGACAGCAAAGTGCTGAAATAATTGAATGTGTATCGAATCGTTTAAATCAGCGGTGCTGCTTTCCTAAACGTCGGTGCTGACGCTGTGGGTGACTACTTCCTTCATGGTGACCTGGCGGATGAGGTTCAGCTTCTGGTAGAAGCTGGCCAAGTCCATGGGCAACTCCATGTCCTGCTGCTGCACAGTCCTGTAGCTGATCCTGCGACCGCCATTGCACAGCCTCTCTGGGTGCTGCAGGTAGAAGGGCAGTGAGCAGCGGGCACAGGAAGGGCAGAAGGCATGCGAGCGATAGCACCTGCGTGGCGGCGGAGGCGAGTAGCTGACGGGGCCGTTGGCTTCAGTGAGGAAAGTGGGAGGGTACGTCTCGGGGTCGTCACTGTATTGCTCTGGCGTCGGAGGCGTAGGAGGAGCCGACAGAGCCAGGGGGCGAGATGGCGACATGGTGGCGAGCTCGGGTTCCTCCTCTTCCCCCTTCTCAGACTCCTCCCTCTTACAGCAGTAATACTGGACCAGGTGAGAGTCAAACATTTAAAAAGACAAACGGTTAACCAAAGGAGAAAAGAAGGAGCACTTTCAAAACAAATGTCTTGATGCATTCTCAATCATCCAGGTAAGTAAATCTCCAAAAGTTGATTCTGTTCATCTGGACAAAACGCTACGTCCAGATGAACAGAATCAACTTTTGGAGAGTTTCAAATCATGTTTCAACCAATCGGATCCGTGTTAACTATAAGTATAAACCACAGTAAATATAGGGCGTGAAAAAACAAGCTGGTTTGTGTAACTTTGAAAGATAGCGAGCGAGTGTAGT